GGTCTGAAAACCCAACCTTCTCCGATGACTTCCTAATTAACACCATAGCACCTCCTAACCTGCCTCGTTATGGATATGGTGTTTGTTTGGTTCGAATCACCTCAGATTTCTTTGAATCTTCTTTTGAAGGTTCGAGTCAAACATGAACTCACCCAGTTTCGTTCCAAAATGACACCAAATGACCCCTAGGCCTCCCTCACCCTTGTGTCATCTTTGGTTCCCCTCGAATCTGACCAGAAATGGTTGAGACCCAAATCAAACCTTTGAGAACCCTAGAAAACCCAAATTTTTGGATTCTGCCCCAAATTAAATAAAAGGTTGGGGTCTAATCGACCTTAGTCGAAGTATTTTCAGTTGAGAATACTTCGACTAAGGTCTGTTTGATTTCAAAGGTCCAAATCCAAGTTGACCCTGTGTCCGTGTGAAATTGAAGATTCAGAGGTATTTTCTATTTTTCTTTTGTTTATTACGTGTATAATGTTGCCTGTTTCAGTAGCCTGTGTAATTTTTCTTGTTTGATTTATTTGATTCTATGATTCTATCTCATACCTGTTTTATTTGATCAGAATTATAGCATTATTTCTGTTTGTTGTGATTGTTTATAATGTGTATAATCGACTCGATTAAGTTCGTCGATTAGTTGTTTTGTAAATTCTAGTTTCCGTTAATGATGATTGTAATAGCCTGCTTATTTGTTTTGAATTGATTATTATCATTGAATTCAGTTAATTAGTTCTTCCCAATTAGTTGATTCTCGTTTAATAAGTCAGAAAGTCTGTCAATTATTTGTGTGTTGATTTCTGGGCAGTTAATTTCAGAGCATTGTCAATATACTGACAATGCCCCTGCATTTGTTTGATCTTAGTCCAATGTTGAAATCCAGTTTGATTTGTTATATTGAATTTAGTGTAATGATATTGTGATGTTGGGTTTTAAATTCAATTTTAAAAGGGTTGTTTAGATACAACTGTGTTAGGAGGTTGATTAGGATTGGTTATAGCTGTTTAATTCAGAAAGATAATCGAGTTTGAACAGATTTTAAAATCTGTTTTGTATCAGATTCTGATTCTTTTAAGGGCAGTAATAATAGTAGGTTTTCAAGGGTATTTCTGTGATAGAAACAGTAGGGTAATGTGATAATAGTAGTGTACTGATAGTGGTTTGATAATGGCTATTATTTATTGAAGTAATGGGAAACAAAGGGTAATGGGAATGCTGAAAATCAGGAAAAGATCACTTAATGGGATTTAAAGTAGTAAAAGCATATTTTAATGGGATTTTCTGATTTTTAAAAGAAGAAGGGGGTCCAGGCAGCACTAAAAAGAAAAGGGGCAGACCTGTATAAGATAGAAGGGATTGGGACTAATTGAAAAAAAAAATAGATTTTAATACACAGATATAGACATTAAGAGATACACAGAGAGAGGCATTGAGAAAAATCAGAAATAGAAATCCGAAAAACTGAGAAAAAACAGGAAAAAAAAACACATAGAATCAGATAGAGAACAGAAAGAAAGAAAACTCAGAAACAGTAAAAAGAATTCTACATCGACACTAGTATTGAGGCTGATTTTCTGAAATTAAGAGCTTTTCAGTTTTCCTTTTCTAAAAATCTGAAAATCAGAAATACTGTTTTTCCTGCAATCTGTCCGGATTTATCTGATCCTATTTGTTTAGTTTAAAAATCTGAAACTTTTAAAAGAAGTCTTGTTACTGTGCATCTGGGTTCCTCGGGTCTTGTTTTGTTGATCGAATCTGTTGAACACTGGTATATTCTGCTAATTTTGTTGTTGCTGCTACTGCTGAAATTTACTCATTCTACTTTTATTTCCAGGTACATATCTGTAAACTCCTATCATGAAAAGCTTCAACATGACAAATAAATGAAGTTCGGGAATTATAATTCTGTTTTCCATTCGTCCAAGTTCATTAGTTTAAAATTTGGTTTTGTTTCAGTTGATTAATATAGTAGTACGTTTGACTTGATAAATATAAGATAATTGTTACCTCTTGAAGTTCGTATAAGTGTTGTAATAATGTCACCTATTTCGGATTTTTCATTAAGTGAAGTCATGATTGAATTGTCAAGGTAGGGAACATGGCATAAAATGGGCCATTAATTACATCCCGTAATATTGTTAGCTAAATGTAAAGTAGAATGGAAGTATCAAGAAATTACATTATTAGTATATCTTGTCAAAAATCTGATTTTTGTTTAGATTGATATAAGTTGTATGTTCATATATGGCATGATAACGGGTATATATATAACCATATGTGGAAGGTGAGTTGATATAGCTCGTTACGATATTAGAATATTATGAATGGTTCAGACGTACAACTACGTTGCATGTAAAGCAATTTTATTGAATCAGTTCGTATAATATTTCTTTTTCTTATCAACTTGACTTTTATCTTCCATCGCCAACATTAACCAAACAATTGTAACTTTGGACTAAAACTAATATATGAGAAGGACATGGGATTTATAAGCGAATTGTAGCATTTTATGTTAAAGATATATAGAAGTAGAGTTTGCCTTAAATGAAACAATGAAGATTCTTCGGAAACTCTTAATTTGTTTATCATATTAAGTTCTTTCCCAATCTTACATGCGGTTCGATTTGTGGACATCCTTATGTTATATCCACGGGNATATTAATACAACGCACTAGAGTGAGACTAACCATTTAGGAGTTAGTCTTAGGATGCTACTGATGCAGCGTTATATCTGTTGAATATTAGTATACCTTACATCCTTTTCTCCATCATTTTCGTATTTCCTATATTTCTTATATTGTTGTTATTTTTATTTTATGTTATGTATTATATGTTTTATTATGAGCCTATTGATAGTACTAATATATTGTCTCTTGTTGCTCTCTTGAGCCGAAGGTCTCCTGGAAACAGCCTCTCTGCCCATCGGGGTAGGGGTAAGGTCTGCGTACATATTACCCTCCCCAAACCCCACTTGGGGGATTATACTGGGATGTTGTTGTTGTTGTTGTTGTAACCAGGGGCGGATCTATGTACAAGGTTCGGGGTGGTACGCCACCCGCAAGCTTCGGCGAAAACTATATATATATATATATATATATATATATACGAAATGGTATATATATATATATTTAAAGTGCCACCCATATAACAAAAGTGGCCAAGGTGCTAGTGGCAAAGGTCCATTTTTTCCTTCTGCTGGTTGTGAGTTCTAATCCAACACACAACATGTTTTTTATTTTAAATGTTTTATTTTTAATTAATGAGATAAAGTAATCATAAAAAGTTTTATAATTAAAATAAAATTTCTAGAAAGCTAAAAGACTTCCCCACTTTCCCCTTTCCCAAAATTGTTACCAGCAAAAGGACTTTTAATTAATAAGATAAAGTAAAAGTCTTCCCCACTTTCCCCTCTCCCAAAGTTGTCTCTAGCAAAAAGAATTCCAATATCCAATTCCTAAGTCCCCAACCGGCCAACCCTCACTTTGCTTGTCCAGTTCTCACGCTCACGGCTCACCTCTTCAGGTCTTCTCTTTTGCTATTTCAAACCACATTTGTTCACCGGTAAAGCTTCATTTTCCTCTTCCTCTTATTTATTTCTTAACCCTATATGGTCTATGACTATTTTTTTTCATTAAACATATATTTTTTTCTGTTTTTTTTTTTTTTTTTTTTTTTTTTTTTTTTTTTTTTTTTTTTGCAGCT